AATAATTTTAAATATAAAATAAAACTTAAAGACAAATAAAATAAAATAAAATTAAAGAAAGGCTTGTAAGCAAAATAAGTCATGTAAACAATAATAGTAACTCACATAAATAACAAATTTTAAATTAAATATATAACATTGATGACCTAGATTTATATATATATATATATATTAATCTGAAATTTTTGCCTTGATATTATTACTACTTGAATGAATTTTATGAGATTTTACATGATCTTCATTCTTTGTGCAGAAAAAGATTTGAATGCATAAAAATAGGAGTTTTAGGGATTAATTGAATATCTTTTGAAAGTTGAGGGACTGAATTTCAAGAAAAAGGGCGCCACTTTTGGACCTAAATGAATGAATCTTGAGTTTTGGGGTCTAAGTACTATTGTACAAAAGTTGGAGGACCCGATATGCTATTTTACCATTGAAGAAATTGCAAAGAGAGACCAGAAACCCGACACGGGTGTAGTGTCGACACATAATTGGGGTATCGGCACCATGCGTTAAGCTTCCAGAATTAGGCTTTTTGTTTCCTATTTTGTATCGATATGTAATTCGGGTGTCAGCACCATCCATTCCGCGACCAAAATTCAAGTTTCCTATTTTGTTTCAAGTTTCATTTTTATTCCAATTAGAGTTTTCAACATCCTGTAAATACTCATCCAAATTCAGAATTATGAAGAGCTTTGGGAGGGTGGTGGCAGTCCTCGTTTTAGGCCTTTTTTGAGATCAAGATAGAGGATTCGTAACAATAGAAGATCAAAAAATTTAAATTTCTGAAATTATGTTTCATTTTTCCTTAAATTTTTTTTATCTATTGTTTGATATTCGAATATTTATGTTTATAATTTCAATTTTTATTATTTTTATTATGAACTAATTTATTCTACTAAGGTTATGATATAACCAAATAAATTTAATATAGATTTTGTGATTTTATACTTTTAATTAAAGTTATTCTCATGATAAATTTACATTATTGAACTTAATGCATTAAAAGCTTGATCACTTTTTAATTGATTTAATGATTTATGCATGAATTTAAGAAAATATTGCATAAATTAGATCAATAATAATATAAATTGTGTTAAACTATGAGACCGAAAGGTAATTAGCGTCATATGTGATACTGAAGGAAGAGAAGAGAGTTAAGAGCTCCCCTTCTTAAGTTAGAGGTTTCTATAGAATTTAATGCTCGTTAGTTTGTTTAAAATTATATAGAGATATGATTAATTTAACAAATAAATGAAGAATTAACTTAATGAAGAATTAACTTAACTTGAGAAAGTTAGTTAGTTAATTTAGGAGAATCCATCATCACATGCGATGACACTCAATAAATTGGTTTTAAAAGCATATTAATTCGGAATTTTTATTGATTAATTATAGTGAAATCAATGCTTAGTATCTCATATCTTAATTAGTTTTATTTTAATTATTATTTTTTTAATTAAAGTTTTTTCTTTTTCGATTGTTCAAATAAATTTAGATTAATTATTTTAGTACTTAATTACTCATAATTCTCGTAGGTTTGATACTCTACTTATCATTATTTTACTTAAAACAACTAGTACACTTGTTAAAGTGATTTTAATACATCAACAGACACCACAATTGTAACTTGTATAAGACCTCTACTTTGACTCTTCTTTTCTAAAGTCAAGTATGTAAATATATACTCATAAATTACTTAATATCTATTTATTTAGTTATTAAGTATAAATTTTTAAATATTTAGATAAGTATCAAACTTAAAATTTATACTTAAAATTTTTAAATCAAATAACAAATATATTTCAGGACTTATATTTGAAAACGCTCACCCATCCCTGCAAGGAGAGAGTGCTTCATTTTTTTTCTATTTTTCTCATTTTTTGCTCGAATGGAAAGGCTACTTCCACTCTGACTCAATTTAACTGTCTTATAGACTTTTTTTCTGTAATTGTAAATAATTTTTTTGCATGATATATGAACAGTGAATGAAATTTTCTTAAAACAAAACTATTCCAAAAAATTAAGTTGGCATTAACCACTAGGATTCGAGTAATCAAGATTGAAAAAGAAAAATAGATTGAATTAATTACTAATCACATAATTTCTACATCGAATTTTTTATGTAAAATCAGATACATTCAATCTGCTGCAATAGGGGGCAAATGCACCAAAAATGTGATTTGGTAGCTTATGGATGAACTCTTATCTCTTGCAAGCCACAGATTTCAATATGGAAAACTGCGCCTTTTTTACAACAAAACGATAAAAGAACTTGATTTGAAACAAGCTACTGTGCCTTTAGTCACCAAATGAGACAATCTTTTGATAGTGAACTTCCTCTTCATAGTTTTCAACCTCTTGCTGGTTCGTTTTGCCCCTTTTCCCCTTTTTTTTTTTTTATTAATCTGTTCTTTCTGCTGTTTCGTGTTCATTGGAGTATTGGGCTCCTTCTGAATCAAAACAGATTTAAACCCATAACCTTCATCCCAAAAACAAGGTTATAATACTTAATCTATAACAATTTGGTTAATCTCCAGTTGGTTGCTAGTATTAGTTTATACACATCCACCTAAACATAAATTTAGACCTTATTTGCATTAGTACCGGCTAATTACAAATACTTGATTCAAGGGTCAAGATAAGGGATTGAAATAGCTAAGCACGCTAGCTTTCTTCAAGTAGTAAAAGTGAAGATGCACAAAATGGTGCAATATAATATAAACATTAAAACTAAGGTTCAGTAATGAAGATTTTGAATACCCTACTCAAGTGTGACCTGTATCAAAATATTAAATTTCTTGAGGTATAAACTATAAACAATCATATATGAATTTTATGATTCAATAACTTCATACACTAAGCTTAGGTAATGAGAGTTCTTGATGTTAAATACAACCTCTGTTGTTTTTAATAAGATTTTGTCAAACTTATCCGAATAAACTAGGTAGCATTTCACTGTAAGGTGAATGAAGACTCACATTGATATCATCCAAGTACCCACAACATAAACCAGGAAAGCAACCTGACAATTGAAATTATAACATTAACTTAACAAACCACTAGAATACCGAATAGGTGATTATATTTCTTCCCTCTGTTCATTTCCAATACCATGAACTACCATACCAATCACTCCAGTAGCAGAACAAATAATGTAAGTTAATAAATCATCAAGGAAAGAAACAAAACAAAAGA